GTAGATACTGACAGGTATATATAGAATAGATAAACAAGATTATACTGTATAGCACAGGAAAATATATATAAGATCTTGTGGTAGCTCATGGTGAAAAAGAATGAGACAATGAATATATGTATGTTCATGTATAACTGAAAAAACTGTGCTCCACACTGGAAATTGACACAACATTGTAAACTGACTGTAACTTAATTTTAAAAAATGTTGTGATATATTTATACAATGGAATACTACTCTGCCATGAAAAAGAATAAAATAATGTCATTTGCAGCAACACAGATGGACCTAGAGATCATCATTCTAAGTGAAGTAAGCCAGAAAAAGAAAGAAAAATACCATATATCACTTTCAATTTTTATTTCATATGTGGTTCAAAAAAGTGTAATGAATGGATGTTGTTTGATCCAGGTTTATGTGTACTCATGCATAACAGCACTGCCTGTGCGAGCAGTACAGGCCACCGAAAAGGCCATAGGAAGGAGGTTATAAGTGGAACAAGTTTCCTTCCGGTTCAGCTGTGGTCTTCAGGCTGTTTTGCATTAAAATTCTCTAATGAATTTTGAAAAACTATGAACCTCTTTATTCTTTATAAAGTGTGGCATATAAATATTTTAATTCAAGATTAGATACTTGCTGTCTATTTTTTGCTCTTCTAAAAGCATCCATCCATAGAAATTCAGTGTCCAGGATCATTCATATAAATAAGCATATGATTAGCTCTTGCTCAACAGTTGAATGTTTAGCATCTTTCCTCTCTCTGAACTCCTGTTTCCATTCTCTTTCCCTTATTGGTATTTATCAGGACGTAATTTATGTTTGAATATCTTTATGGGCAGAGACGTCACCTTATCATTTATTTATAAATCATGTGTGTACATTTCATTGCGGTCTAATCTAGAGATCGCTAACCTCTAATCTTTTTAAAAAATCTTATTTTTTCTAATCTCTAAACTTCTCTTGCTCTAATAGTAAAGATTTCTATTTTTATTTAAATCTGGAAGCCACTGACTCTTTCCCACTAATCTGTGTTATTTTCATGAATAACTGTAATATAAATTAACTACAAGTAACTGCTTTTTGAAACTGCATTAGGTGCTGGGCTATTATTTATACTGGCATAGAAACTGTGTACTGATGTATGCACAAAGGACAGTGATATATTTTGGTGACTAGTTAGACTCATGTGTGTGAGTAAGACGTTTTGTCAACTCTGTGAAACTCAGTGCTGTTTCGTCCCATTGTGACCAACCTCAGGTTTATGTCAGGCCCTGCTGCGTGGAGTGCCCGGCCAGGTGGGCCGTGTTGCCCCCTCGGGATCAGAGGACACTGACTCGGCCACTCTCTGGTCTCGCAGCTGGTCGAGGACGTGAGAGGGGACTCTGCTGGGGTGGCTCCTGGGAGCTGGATCCCACCCCACCTGAGCTGCCGCCCCGCAGTCCCTCAGTGCCCTACTAATCACCGATTCTCAGCTCCGCCTCTTGGAAGCAGCCACTTCCCTCCACGTCCGCCAACACCCTCTGGTCTCCCAGTTCCCACCTGAAAGCTGCTCTGCCTTGCTCTGTCCAGCCAGCCCTGCTCCTCCAACCTAGAGCAGCCAGAGCAAGTCCGCCCCCAGTCCTGTAGGTCTTCTGTGGCTCTAAGCGCATGGCCAGCTGTCTGCGCCCCCTCTCCCCGTGCCCCCACCCAGCAGCAGAGAGTAGAGCTCCTGCCTCTGGTCCCTCCCCCGTGATCGATCATCCAAGGCCTGCCCCATGCAGGACCCTGGGGTGGAGGGGCACTGCCGCCGTGGCTGGAGGGCAGAGCCAGAACGTCAGGTGGAAACCTAAGTTTTGCGACTGACTGGCTGCCTCAGGCCGGAAGCAGTCTTTGGAGAAACACCGGGAGCAGACCTGCCAGCTGGTTTCTCTCCGTCCAAAGGCACCCCGCTCGGCGCTGGCACCAGGAGGTCGGGCAGGGTGTCGTGGTGCTGGCTCTGTAGTTCACAACCACGGAGGCACCTGCCTAGTGGACACCAGCCCGCTGAAGGGTGTGAGGACTCTGTGCGATGCGGTTCCCGGGGCCCCCATCACTCGTGGACACGTTTTGCATTCCAACACGTTATTTATTGACAATCCACATACATGGGAAGCTCTCCTCCCATGCCCCCCCACCCCCTTCCCCCCCAACTCACCCCCCCACCCGAGGGGAGAGTTAAAACACCTCGTGGAGCAAACCCTCCAAGGCCCTTTTGATCTCATTGACCTCAGCCTCCTGCTTGCCCCACCACTCCTGCTGCTGCAAGGCCTCCGCTTCCCAGTCCAGCTCGTAATTCCTCTCCAGCAGCCTCTGGAGCTCAGCCAAGGACTCCTCCATGCTCAGGGCCAGGGGCTCCGATGGAATGTGCCACGCCCCTCCCTCCCTGCCA